TCACAAATAAATCATCTAATTGAGGCTTTACAAATTAAGAAATTAAATACAAACTATATCTAGATCTAATTTATCTGGAAATTTGCTAGCAATTTCCTATCCCTATGGATCTGATCCAAGATCTGCTCTGTTTCAGTAAAAAAAAAAAAAAAAAGCCTTAACCAGATTATCCTACATAATATAAAACAGTAGCACTACAACTGTTGTTTAAAATACACTAAACATATATTGAGCTTGCAAGAAACTAGGAAAATCCCTACAGACCAGCAAATAGGAGGCTAAAAGCTAAAGTAGTAATCATCAGCTGATACTGGTTTGGGTTTGTTTTTTGGGTTTTTTTTTTTTTTTGGATTTGCATAAAAAGATACAGGCTTCATTTAAATACATTTGTTTATGAACTTTGTATTTGTTTGTATCCCAATGTTCCAAAAAAGACTTAAGGAGTCTTACAAGATTATATAAAATGCAAAAAAGAAACATAGATTAAAAGTAGGATGAAAGAAGAAAAAAATGAGAGGATACTAAATGAAGCTGGGAACAAAGCCCAAATCGCATACTATAATGACCTAAATATTTGCTCTGGGTCATCTACAAGTTTGAATCTAAGCTTCCTCCCAGTGAACGTGAAAAGCAAAACATAACCAAATACTCTACTGACAATGTCTGTGAGATAAATATAAACTGGTGTTGAGAAATACAAATATTGAACCACCCTTGCAGCCCAGGAATAAGTCCCACTTGAGGGTAAATGATTCTTTAAAGGTACTGTTGAGTAGATTTGCTAGTATTTTATTGAAAAATTTTGCACCCATGCTCATCAGAGATATTGGCCTGTACTTCTTTTTTTAGTGGAGTCTTTTTTTTTTTTTAAGATTTTATTTATTTATTTGACAGAGAGAGACAGCGAGAGCGGGAACACAAGCAGGGGGAGTGGGAGAGGGAGAAGCAGGCTTCCCGCAGAGCAGGGAGCCCGATGTGGGGCTCGATCCCAGGACTCTGAGATCATGACCTGAGCCGAGCAGACGCTTAACGACTGAGCCACCCAGGCGCCCCTGTAGTGGAGTCTTTACCTGGTTTTGGTATCTGGGTAATGCTGGCCTCAGAATGGATTTGGAAGTTTTCCTTCTATTTCTTTTTCTTTTTTTTTGGAGTAGCTTGGGGTTTTTTTTATTACTACTATGTTCAGTTAGCCAACATATAGTACATCATTAGTTTTCAAAGATTCATTAGTTGCATATAACACCCAGTGCTCATCACAACACATGCCCTGGTTTGGGGTTTTAACAACTACATGGGGTACAGAGGGTGAGGCCTTGGACCCAAGACAGGAATTCAAATGCAGGACTAGAGAAAAGTAACATACAGGCAGTCACTCACTGGTAACTTATTCCCCTCACCGCCCCCTCCAAGTATTGCATCCCTTTCTTCTCTTCTACAGGATTTTTCTCTCTTAGGTTCCTATACTCTGGTGTTGCTTTCACTTCTTTATCAACTATTTCCCATTAAAATTATTAATTGCTTATTAAATGTTTCTGATCATTTTCTACTAAAAGTAATAATCTATTAATTGACAATTAAGTTACAAGCTGTTAAAAGATTAGGGTATGATAGCTTCCATCCACAACAATAATTCCCATTCTTGTTCATGAAGTTGAAGCTTTACAACTAGAAATGGAGGGAATGAAATGAATGAAGTGGAAGAAAATTAAACAGAGAGGCTAAAAAAATTAATGAAGGGAAAAAATATTTTTCTCCACTGAGCACTATCTTCTGGACCTTTAACCTCCAGATTATACTGTCTTTATTGAATGACAGGAATCACCACCTAGTTGTACAGGCCTGAAATTTTAAAACAATTTCTACATTTGCCTTTCTCTTTTCCTCAATATTCAACCTACAGCCCGGTGCTATACATTTTACTTCTTGAATATCTTTCAGATCTATCCTCTCCATATCCATAGGTGATACCCATGAGTTTTTCAACCTCAGGACTACAGACATTTTTGGCTAAATAATTCCTTGCTGTGGGAGGTAGCCGCACATTTTATAGGATGTTTGGGCAGAATTCCTGGCTTCTACAGAATGACTAGAGGCCAGTAGCAGTACCCATCTCCACCCTGCCTAGTTGTGACAAACAAAAATGCCTCAAACATTGCCAAATAGTCCCCTAGGTGATAATTACTGCCTTATACCAAGCTAACACCATTTCTTACCCAGTGTACTACAAGTCTCCTAATATATCTTCACTAAATCCACCATATTACTGCACCCCCCATAACGATTCTCCACACTACACCCAGTGATATTCCAACTCTGATCTTGTCAGTCCCTACTTAAAGTACTTCAGTATCTTCCCACTTCTCTTAGACTAAAATCCAAAATCCTTTTTATTGCTTTAGAAGGTCTAGCTCTCACTTCGCCAGATTCACGTTGTACCTCACTGCATCCTACTTCCCCTCCTTCATTGTACTCCAGCCACGCTGGCTACCTTTCAATTCCTCACATGGGTCATCCTCTCTCCAGCTATTGGGAGAACCCTCTGACAAGAAGATTCTTCCCCCACCTCTTGTAACACTCTGAGAATACTAATTCTCAGAGCGTTACAAGAGAATACTAATTCATCTACTAATATGCTATTTAAAACAGTAAATAGTAAAAACAGTAACAACCAATGTTGGCGCTCTAGATTAAAAGCTGTGACCTAAGGAAAAAGTTGAATGCATTTTGATGATTGGAAAACAGGACATGCCGCTTTTTCTAGGACAGGGTAGACAAAGATCAGTGATGACCAACAACAAGAAATGATAGAGGACAACGTGTTAAGAGTCACAAAACCTAGGTTCTAATCTCTTTTCTGCATTGATTATCCATGTGATTTGTTCTTAGTTTTAATTAACTTTTCTGGTGTACAGTTCTATCAGTTTGAATACATGTAACCATAACCACAATCGGGATACAAAACAGTTCCATCATCCCCAAAAATTCTCTCATGTTGCTCCTTTGCTGTCAAACACCTTCCCACTGTAGTCTCTGGCAACGACTGACCTATATATTCTTTGTCCTATACTTTTATCTTTTCCTGGCATATATTCATGCCATCTTCTCTATAATAAAATATTAAGCCATTTATGATGATCATTTGTCTGCCATGGCCAAAAACTAAATGGATGACAGTATCCCCTCTACGGTTCATATTTTAAAAAAGGATTTAAGTTTGCGGTAATGCCCAATTTTTTCAATTTCACATCTTAAATTTTCAGTCTTCTCTGGAAAAGTGGCTCCACTTTGAATTTCTACATGCTATCTTGGTAGGCCTATAACTTTGCTCACTCTACAAAGCTATGAGCTCCAGAATGTACCTTACCCTTTCCTTGTGGTGGTCCTTCCTCAGTTGACCACAGCCAACTGAGCAGGCAACTGCAATTTTCTTTACAGCAGTCTTTACCGATGGTGAGGGAGGGGGCAGTGTTCCAAGCTTATTCTAGCACCATGTTATTTAGGAACATAGCTTGTCACTGAATGTCTAAAGATAATACTGATGACACTTTAGTCAACAGTCAGCTAAAGGAGAGTCTTGATAAATGATATAATATGAAAAAACTCACTGCATTATCTCATAGGGTTGCTACCCTGGTAAATCATAAGAATGCTATCCATAACATTATATACATTTTAATAAGCACATCTGACAGAATCATTCGTAATTCTCTAGTAGTGTATCAGATTAGGTGTAATTACACTGGATTCAAAAGAAGAACTGGATTCAAAAGTATTAAGTAATTGGGGTGCCCAGGTGGCTCAGTCGGTTAAGCATCAGACTCAGTTTCGGCTCAGGTCATGATCTCATGGGCCATGGGATTGAGCCCTGCACTGGGCTCCATGCTCAGTGGGGAGTCTGCTTAAGATTCTCTCCCTCTGCCCCCCCTCCACTCGTACTCTCTCTCTCTCTAAAACAAATAAATCTTTAAAAACAAAAGTATTAAGTAATTTATGTCTCCCACAAGTGCTTCCTTAGAGATAAATTAAGTATTAGAAACTACTTATATGTAAGCAAGATTTAAGTCTTTTTCTAAGATTCAATTAGGAGTTTTCTTTCATTTCATTGAGTTTCTTTTATGGCCCATAAAAAGCAATTAGAAAGGCTTGTATTTCTGAGACACAGAAACTGAAGAATTCCATAAAAATCTGCTTTTTGCTCCTTTTCCTGCTTCTATTCTTGCTAGGACCTGTACCCCCACCCCACTTTACACATGCCTCAGAATGCAAATAGTGTATGCCCTCCTTCTAAGGGACAAGGAGTTTATGATTTCTTCAGAATAAATAACATCTAAGGAAGGACCAGGTGGTAATGACTGAACAAAGCTGTCGTATGCATATTCCAGACCACCAATGCTAGACATCTCAACACCAAGATGCCCTGGCTCCAAGGAATAACACCTGGGTCTCATCTTCATTCTAACCAGTTCCTGGATGCCTGAGAGGACACATACACCATACCATGATCCTTAATAAAAAACCCCAGACCCTGAACAAAGACGAAACTCATGCTCCTTTCCTTTCCAAGTCTCCCAGTCACTTCTCCATATCTGCTCTCTCTATATCTTCAATAAACTCTGCTCTCACTTCCTGCTGGCTTGCATTTGATTTCCATCCTGTGCAGAAGCCGTGGACCCTCTTGGCTGGTTCTATAGGAACCCCTCCAGGTCCTCAGACCTGGCCTGCCAGCATCATTTTTTGATATGAACATATATCAAATATTCAGAGAAAAACAGCAAGTTCGTCAAAACAGGAGATCACATGAATTTACCTTGCTAAGAATATAAACATTTTTCAAATACAAATACCAACTGATTTTCTAGATTAAGTCCTTTATAAAACTAATGATAAGCAAAGTCATCAGATTTTATTAACACAATAAGATGAATATAAAAATTATAGATTTTTCAAAGCTTGTTAGTTTCCACCTAATTGGATGAGACTAGCACAATGTTTGTTTTTACCTTCCGGTGGCCTGTTGGATGTTGCCACAACGACGACCCCATTTTTGAACAGATTTTCAAAAAGCTGTTTCAGAATCATGGCATCAGCAATGTCAGTGACCTATGGACAACAACACATTTGTTTTATTTTAATTTCACTTCTGCTCTAACAAATTTGCTAATGGCTCATCTTTTTTTTTTTTTTTTAAGGATGGAAGTGAATTCCAAGAGAAAAATTCTAATTATCTCATGAAGAAAAGAGTAGATAATTAAAAGCATGAAAGACTGTATGGTAGTCTTTTAAACTTGACTCTTTTTTGCAAGCCTATCATTTCTACGCAAATTATCAAATGGTTCTATGTTAACTTCTTTTATAAACTACAGGTGGAAAGTACAGATAATTGTATTAAACATTTAGGAAGTCTAATCAATTAGAAATAACATAACGAAATCCCTCCTCCTATGCCCATCACAGACTCCGTCCACCCCACCCCACCCACCCTGGCAAAAAGAGGAGAGAGAAAGAGAGAAAAAAAAAGAAAAAGAATAAACAAGCTGATTGAGATTTCTAATACCTTTCTGGCAAAGGTCCCTGAAAAGGTGACTTTAAATGGTCATGGGACTTTAGAAATAAGGACAAATAGCCAGTGAGACATAATCAGCTGCTGTTGAAAATAGAATGATATGACATAGATACTATTGTGCAATTGTTGCACAAAACAATTCAACAGATGGCCCATCACAAAAATAAGCAATTTCATTGTTCTTTTTAAGTGCCTTCTATTACTGTCCATGAATAATCAAAAGGCACTGCAGTCACTTCCAGCACAGCCAGCCTCTGCTAACCTTCGCAAACACAAATATTCCTTCTATTAAAAAAAAAAAAAGAAAGAAAAGAGAAACCTTACAAGAATTGTTCATGCAGTGCTTTAAAAAACTACTTCTGACAAAAGCAGAAATGCATAATATAGATAAAACTATTCCATCTAAGTTACAGAGACACATATAACTATCTTTTCTAAAATTTTTAAAAATCCACAATTAACAAACTTATTAACTTTTTTAAAAAGCTTATTTTAAAATCACAAGGAAATAGAGAAATTAAGGAGGGAAGGAAGTTGAGTTCAAAAACAAATGTATGGTGAAGATAGATATTAATCATTGCACCTTCCCTTAAAAATATAATAATATGGGTTTTAGATACTTCTTATGCAAAAATATTTTGATATTTAATAGCATATCACATCTTAATAAAATTGGTTTTATATTCACAAAACATACAATAAATATCACATTGTTATTTTTAAATTCTGTTAGAGCATAGAAACTGGGGGAATTCTTTCAAATTAGATCAAAATACTGAAAGTTACCCAATAAATGGTCCTACCTGACTTTCACAGGTTGATGTCACTTTTCTCTTTTACGCAAAAGTTTCATTATTTCCTTCCCAACTGAACAAAAACCAAACCAAACCAGGAAACAGGGATGTGCAGAGCTTTTTTTTTTTTTTTTTTGCTGCCTCAGGCTATAACTTTAAAACATTAACTAGAAAACTACTGAAGATTCCTTAAATTAAAAAGACTTCAGAAACTTACAGAGTGGTGATTAAAATGAAAAGGAAAGTCGAACTATTTAATTATTTAGGAAAGTGATAGTTAATTTGGAGCTTAGGATCACTGTCAAATTTTGCTTCCGCAAAAATACTCACAGAGAAGGCCCTTTTCAAATGCTTAGACACCAGTGGCATTTCTGATGAGAGAGCAAACAAGCTTGCAAATTTTAGAAGCAAGTGCACTTTTAAATTGGATTCCCAATACACTGACTTTGAAAGAGAATGATATCAATTAAAAGTTGCCCAATTTTAGAAAATAAAAATGGTCATTTGACTATCTGACCAATGTTTGTGAAAAAAAATTAAAGTAGCTTTTCATGCCCTACGGTTTAGAAAAGTGAAGAGACATTTAGCTTGTAACAGTGCAAAGGTTTAGGCTGCAAGTTGAAGAAAAGCAAACAATAAAGACTTGTGGTTGAATCATACTTTGTTGTTTTTGTATTACAAAATGTTTTTGCTCTATCAGAGTAAATTAACTTGGAGAAGCTATGGCTAATTAATAAAGCAGGAGTCACTTGGGGTAGCTGGGTGCCAATGTATACTCTTTTGATCTTGTCCCCGCACTTGTTCAGCTTTGCTGGGGAACAGTAATTTTACAGTATAAGTGAACAGAAGACAATTGGCCACACATTCTTGGAGAGCGGGCTTTTTTAGCACCCAGCATTTCATTACTACCAAGAACAAAAGAGAAGGCTACAGATTACCAATAAGGGTAGTCTGCTAATACAGAGAGGGGGAGACATTTCATTAGCATTAAAGAGAAAAGGTTTTTTATGACCTAGAGTTGCTTTCCATTATGACTCACTTAAGTAAAAAAGAAAAAAAAAATCTAATGGTTAATTTACATATGTAAGTGCTTGAGTCTCAGTCACCCACTGATTGGTACAGTGCCATGTAATGAGTGACAAACATAAGCATGCATTATCAGTAATTAGTATTAGCACAAAAATAAGCACCTATTTTTTATTAGCAGTTTTTAATAGCTTTCCTGTTTTACAAAAACGGTCAAAACTATTTTTTAAATGATATTGATAGCTTATAGAGGAGAATTTTGCATGATATTCTGCTCATCAGAATTCTTTTTTTTTTAGACCATATTAGTAAAACATCTATCCAGCGTCCCTAAAAAAGACAGGAAAAAATAACTTTTTTAAAAAATCAGTTTCCTTCAGTATTATACCTTCAGAATCATAAATGGTTTAACAAAAAAATGTTAAATATTCGAAGTCAACATAATGAAGACCCTAAAGAAAACTTTGAGTAAAATCTTCTCTTTTATTTCAGCAACTAAAACATATAAAAACAACCTACCTAGACAAATTTCTCAAACAAAATAATAGTATATTTGACACCACAGGCAAAACTGAAATGCTATATACTTTACTAAAGATGACCAAGCTAATGAGGAATACATTCTGCAAATGTAATCTGAATACTGCCAAAACATAATTTAAAAATTCCGCAAATTCAAGAGTACATATAGTCTTGTTTTAAGCAGCAATGCTTCTCATTCAGCTCCCTAGTAAAATAAATATTATATTAATTAACACCAAGTAAAAGCCAATAATAACTAGTTAAAAATCAAGACTACTAATAGGATTCAATTTTAAAAGTGAAGTGGTGATTGTAGACATACGATTGTTAAGAATAAAGTGCCTAAAAAATTCTTTTGTAGTAAATCAGCAATGTATCGTACTAGGATTAATAGGCTTAAGGATAATTTTTAGGTTCTATCATTAAAACATCTACTAAAAGCCTATCCAGCTCCAGATCTGTATATTTAAATATATAATGTAAGACATCATATACCAAAGAGAACATAAAACATAGCTGTTACTACTAGTGAATTAGAGCACTAATGATGAATTCAAACTGAGTTACCAGCTGTGTAACCTTGATGAGTTAGTTAACTTCTCTGACCCTTAATTTCCTCATCAGTATAATGAAGGTAGTAATAATACCTACCTTGCAAAATTGTTATGATCCTTATATTAACTCCTCAAGAAATGTTAGCTAGGACTATTGTCTGTGTATGGTATATATGCTAGTATAATTGCATGTTATTTATATGTAGTTGTATCGAATTTTAGCTGTAGATGGAATGGTATATACCATAGTACAGTAGTTAAGAACAAAGGCACATAGTACTCAATAAACAGAATATACATAATAGATGGAATGTAACCATTCTAATAAATGGCATTGTCTCAAACAGTTCATAAAAGATGAATTTTAACTAGTTAATAAACAAATGTAGAAAAAATTCACCTATATTATTACTTAAGGAATATATATTAAAACAATAAGATACCATTTCTCATTTATTAGGCAAAAAATGTTAAGATAATTCAGAATGTTGACAGGAAAAATTGTGGGTTGTTATTATAAATAAGGGAAGTGGGACTTAGTTGGGAGACTACCTCACTATTTCTCATTTGGTACTAGGATTTATTCATTCATTCTTTCACTCACTATTAGGCATTCACTCATCCTCAAACACAATTCTAGACATTTGAGATACATCAATTACCAAAACAAATATTCCTACCTTCAAGATTACATTCTTATGGAGGAATATATATATAATAAGCAGTAAACATAATAAATAATATATATGCCAGAAGGTGATATATGTTATTTTTAAAAAGAATGTTTTTAAAAAAGACAGTAAGGAATGTTGGTTAATGGCAAACCACAAGTTTTGTAAGAATAGGCCTTGTTAAGGAGATAACTGAGCAAAGATCTGAAGAAATGAGAGACTCTTTGGGGTATCTGGGGGAGACTGCCCCAGGCAGAAAGTTCAGTGCAAAGGCTCTGCTTGTTTGTTCTAAGCTGTGTGGATGTTGGGAATCAGAGCGCTGCTGTAGCAATATTTTGAGGGTATCCTTTTACTCCCAAATTTTAGAAAAAGGGGACAAGGAGAGATCTGGACTAGTAATAATCCAGTTTTGGTGAGCTAGAGGAGCTTTTCTAAAATCAGTAGAAGACAGTCCAGATACTGAAACTAGGAGATCCAGGTTCTGCTCAGTGATCACCTCTGCCCTTAGGGGCCATCTCTTGCCCTTATACTCTTGCTTTCTCTGGTTCTTCTCAACAGTGGGTATATAGAGATAACTGGCCTTTTCTCGCATACAGTGGTAAACTCCAGGCTCAAGTCTGGAATTGCAGAGGAAATAAAAGCAAAACTACTAACACTTTTCATCCTAGGACATGCAGGGCAACTTTGTTCAAAAGCAGAGGGTTCTCCCTCCTACACTGTTGGTAGGAATGCAAGCTGGTGCAGCCACTATGGAAAACAGTATGGAGGTTCCTCAAAAAGTTGAAAATAGAGCTACCCTATGACCCAGCAATTGCACTACTGGGTATTTATCCCAAAGATACAAATGTAGTGATCCGAAGGGGCGTGTGCACCCCAATGTTTATAGCAGCAATGTCCACAATAGCCGAACTATGGAAAGAGCCAAGATGTCCATCGACAGATGAATGGATAAAGATGTGGTATATATATATACAATGGAATATTATGCAGCCATCAAAAAAATGAAATCTTGCCATTTGCAATGACATGGATGGAACTACAAGGTATTATGCTAAGCGAAATAAGTCAATCAGAGAAAGACAATTATCATATGATCTCACTGATATGAGGAATTTGAGAAACAAGACAGAGAATCATAGAGGAAGGGAGGGAAAAATGAAACAAGACGAAACCAGAGAGGGAGACAAACCATAAGAGACTCTTAACCTCAGGAAACAAACTGAGGGTTGTTGGAGTGGAGGGGGGTGGGAGGGATGGGGTGGCTGGGTGATGGACATTGGGGAGGGTATGTGTTATGGTGAGCGCTGTGAATTGTGTAAGACTGATGAATCACAGACCTGTACCCCTGAAACAAATAATACATTATATGTTAATAATAATAATTAAAAAAAGAAAAAAGCAGAGGGTTCTCTCATGTTGTCAACTCTAACATAATAGAATGCTACATTGCAGTAGCATTTGCAATCAAATAAAAGCAATCAATTTGATATTCAGTCTTGTTTTATCATCTCTGAGCATATGTTCTTCAGAGCTCTGGTGGGAAAGAAGCATTTGGTATAACACCCACCATTAGCTATGGCTCCCTAATTTTTGAGGAAAATAGGGTTGGAAAATATTTGCAAGGAGCAAGGCTTGAAAGTATAGGAGATAGGATCAGAGAGAAAGCAGGAAAGCTTGAATAAAAGAAATGACACTATCTTATTGTATTCCCCACACACACACCCACTTAGAGTTTAAGCTTTTTTAAGTTGGGTTTTCTGCTACCTACAGTAGAAAGCATCCTAGGAGATACCTCATCTCTTTGCTCTTTGGTCTTTAGTTCATCAGGTAATTCTCCTTGCATTGGAGGTACTGGATTCTATATAAAGGAAGGTGACATTTCCTCACAGTACTCCTATTTATGCTATCTTTTATAGGCCATAAGGAAATCCCTCCTGATACAGCAGATAGGAGCAAAACAGGAGCTGAACAGATCCATCCCCAAGACTGTTTGCAAGCAACAGGCACAGGAGATTCAGCTAAAGAAAAGGAGTTTACTTGAGACTCCAGGATGTAAACAGCACTGATAACACCTGCTGGGAACTGGAGCTGAGGTAGCTCTGGAGAGCTCAGCAGCTGTCCAGGGAGCAGCCTTGTAGTCCTCCCCCTAATGTGATTCAGTTATTTCCTATGTCTCTTTGTTCCTGCTTCATTATTGTGCGGGAACTGCCCTCAGTGCCTTTTAGTTGAAAGACATGAGACAGAGGACATGATTGGCCCAATCCCCAGGGCACACCACACAAGTGCAATGTTGCTGGCAAGCTTGTGGGCTTGGTACTCAAAGATCAGATGTCCAGACATGGTCCATTTGACTGTGGGTCAGATCGGGTCCTGCAGTTTGGGATAAGGCTCTTTATTTAAGGCAACTGGGATGGATGAGTAAAGGAATGAATGAACATCAAACCAACTCTGGACGGGGCAGGCAATGATCACTCCATCACATCCACTCTCTGTTAGCAAGCAACATTTTACAAGTGAGGGGCCTATCTCCCCCTTGATCTCCTTTATACTTAATACGTAATTTGAAAAATCATTTTTATTGCCTGCCTTTCTTTTGCAAGACTCACTCATTTGGAACACGAGCATCTTGAGAGTTGCTTTTGTTTCCTTCTTCCCAACCATGAATCAACATTCTGAAGTCTGAACTCAGGGGAGAATGCCCAGTGCAACCAGAGAGGTTTCTGTTAGGGCCTCACTATTAGGGTGGTATTATGACATTCATGGGTCCTAGGCACTTTTACCTTCATGAGCCCCTTCCTCAATTAGAAAATGCATTTGAGGGGTGCCTGGGTGACTCAGTCAGTTACGTGTCTGACTTCAGTTCAGGTCATGATCCCAGGGTCCTCGGATTCAGCCCCTCATCAAGCCCCACACTGAGCATCGTGCTCAACAGGGAGTCTGCTTCTCCCTCTCCCTCTCCATCTGACCCTCCCCTGCCCCCCCTCCCCCAGCTCACGTACACTCCTAGGTGCTCCCTCTCTCAAATAAATAAGTAAATGAAATCTTAAAAAAAAAAAGAAAATGCATTTGAAAATACATGTGTTTACATACATAAATAGTATTCTATGACTGGGTTGGTATAAAATATATATAGATACAGGCTGAATTCATTATGATATGTTCATTTCTTTCTGCAAATTTTAAAGGAAATTAAAATATTTTCATGGGCCCCTGAAAGTATAACAGACCCTAAGTACTGTGCCTACTACACCTAATGGGTAATTTGGCCCTGCTTGCTATTAATCTTCTGAGGATCTCTTTGCACCACCAAATTGTCATTGCTTCCTAACCTTCTTAAACAGTCTTGCCAATGGTCTTTGTGTCACAGCAACAGACCAATCTTTTCTCTGAATGTTTTAAAATTCACATTTTTTAAGTTAAAGGTCATGATTTTTATATGATACCAAGGAAATTCTGATGCCTCTATATTCCTCATCTACATGATGACTATAATAACTATTTTACAGAATTAAATGAATAACTGTGTTATAGATATAAAAACACTTTGTAAACCATGAATCATTTTACAAAGGTTAGGTATTAATATATTTTTTTAAAAAATTTAACTTCAATGCCCTAATCAAAAATTTAACTGTGCTAATTCAATTTTATTGGTGATAATGTGATTAAGAGATCATAATGAGAAAACAAGAGATGGCCTTCACTGATTTATCACTGACTTTTGTTGTCGACAACAAACTCAGTACTATTTTTAGAACTAAACGAGGCCCTTCTCTTTCTGCAACACTTTGGGGTACTTAGTATACTTCTTCAGAGTAGAACATTTCTTCCCCATAAGCCTTCTTCTGAAGACCTTTGTAGTTCTACAATACAAAAGGTGATGAGATGCCTGTGTGGCTCAGTCAGTTAAGCATCTGCCTTCAGCTCAGGCCATGATCCCAGGGTTCTGGGATCGAGCCCCACATCGGGATCCTTGCTCAGTGGGAAGTCTGCTTCTCCCTCTGCCTGCCGCGCCCCCTGTTTGTGTTCTCTCTCTCTCTGACAAATAAATAAATAAAATCCTAAAAAAAAAAGTCAATGCCAGGCTGTCTTAATATGACTGAAAGGAGAAGGAAAGATTCCTCCTTTCCAGATGGCCCAGTGTAACACCTTTCCTGGTGAAAATTCTTCTTTCTCATCTATCATAAATCAAGACCATTGTTAGATAAGTGTATCAAGTTGCTAAAGGAGACCTATTGTGCCTCATTTGGGATAAAGGCAACCTGGCCATCTTATCTTCCCACCAAATGTAGGTTTTTAAAACACAGAAGAACAAAAAATAACTTGTTACCAATTTAAATGCATAATTTCAGAGAATCTTAAAACTTTAAGAAGCTTTACAATTCAACTAGGACAGTTCCCTCACTTCATCACAAATCTGTTGTGAGGCTTAAATAAGATGTGTGACTCACCCAGGGCCCACCTCAGAGTAGGCACAAAACAAATGTTAGCTTCCTACCCCTTCGAAGTTCTCTGGGCCTTTATTCTAGGCAGTCAGACACAGGAGTTTATGCACTCAGCTCAGAGATATTATTCAAAAGCTCTGGGTATGAAGCCCTATTTTTAAGCTTATATTCAGTATTTGTGGATTTTTCTATTTTCATTCAAATAATCAATTGCTCTTACAGTAAGCATTATAGAAAAATAAACTATTACATTTCAGAATCACTGAAGAAAGCAAATAAAGAGGAACTAATTCTTAACCCAGAGCATCTATTATTATTATCATTATTATTAAACACCGCAGATACAGAAAAAGCATAAGACATGGCATTTGCCTGCATGCTATCTTTGCTCTCATAAGAAATAAAGATCAGAAAATAACTTATTACCAATTTAAATGCACAATTTCAGAGACTCCTAAAACTACAAGAACTTTGAAAGTTCAAGTAAGGCCAACTTCCCCTGTCATCACAAACAAGTTGTGAGGCTTGAGATGTGTTCATCACTTGTTTTTTATATAACACTTTTAAAAAAAACCCACAAACATCTTTAAAGATATTATTTTGTAATCATGACATTATCTCCATCATGGTACAGGGGAAATGTAAATCCATGACCCTAATATAGGGGTGGGCAAACTTTTCCTATAAAAGGCTGAGTAGTAAATACTTTAGACTTTGAAAGCCACATGTGGTCTCTGTTGCATCTTCTTCTTCTTTTTTAAAAGACCCTTTAAAAATATAAAAATCATTCTTTTCTTACCGGCCATACAAAAGCAGATGGGCCAGATTTGCTCTGTGTGAGCCATAGTTTGCTAAGCCCTGGACTAGACAGTAAAATAAACTCATAAGAGGTAGTGTGTCACATCAATTTACAAAACAATGATAAAATCAGGAACAGAATTTAAATCTTCACATGTCATTCAGAATACCATTCCACATCTATGAAAATCTCTACCTTACCTGAAATTCATCAAAACATAAGAGACATGCTTCTTCACTGATCTCTTCAGCTATGGGAGCTATTGGATCATATGATTTAGCCATGAATCCTGGTTTTCTCTTTGGCAAACTCTGTTTAAGGCGGTGTATTCCTTTAATGGATGAAATTAAACACAAATCAAATACTGTATTAATTGTTCATTTTAAGTAACTATAATGTATCTTTTAAATCTCTAAATGAAACTTCAGTGTTAACATAAAAATTAAGTTTAAATGCCACATAAAATCAAATGTGATTATTGAAAAATTGGTTGCATTTTCTCTACCTCAAAATAAGTTGTTCACATCTTAATACATTCCCATGGTTGTAAGGACACTTTGTAGTCATTCCATCCCCACCCTTCAATCACTTCAGAGATGACAAAGTGATAGCCTAGATGACAAGATGGTAACTAGATGGATCAACAGATCAATCTTATTGCTGAGGATTTCAGAGATGTGGGCAGAGGAGGTGATCCTGCCCTACATCTAGCATACATAATCAGGATGTTCCCTTATCTCTAGGCAATCCCACTTCACTCCTCATATGTGTATTGAATGTTGGAAGTATTAGAAGAAAAATGCAATGTTCCTGCCCTGGTGAGGTTACAGTATAGCTGGTAGACAAATAATGCACAACAGAAATAATCTAAGAACACTGACAAAGCAATAAGGCATACATACAAGCACATGAATGCCTACACGCTAAGGTGACACAGAGGAAATGACCTAATCAAGAACAACTTCTTGAAATAAGTGAGTTTTTAACATTTCTTATTGATCCTTAGTAGAAAGAGGAAATACCTGACCTTCATATAGTAACCTCTCTTCTCTTAATGGGAAGTACGGAATTTGTCTTTAGGACCAACTCTAAATACATCACGAGTTGTTTCAATATAGCACAAAACAAGTGAAACCAAATAAAACCTCACTTTAAGCAAACTAATTTTTTAAAAGATTCAAAGATTAAGAATTTTAGAAGATGATGAGAACTATTTTGTAGTGTCTGCCCACTTAAAAATCCCTTCTTTTAGACCATTTAACTTACTTTCATGAACATCTAGCATGAACCCATGAAAATGAACCCGTTTCTTCCTCTTCATCTCCACATAAGCATAAAACATGTCCATCACCATTGTTTTCCCTGTACCTTAAAAAAAAAAAAAACAACTACTAAACAGTGTATACTGATTGCTGTAATGATTGTTCATTAGCTTTGGGATAATGAAACCACACTCTTCTACTGAAAAGCTTAAGACTATGTTACTTTTTTGGAAAGGAGTGTTTATTTTGTATGCTAAATGAGCTAAAAATTAAATGTTGATATTGCTCTTTTTTGTTAAAATCCTGTTATTAGAAAATACAACATTTAATTAACATTACAGGGGCTATTTCCCCCAGAGAACTATGTGAATAAACTGGTAAGATCTGCAGATTATTCATTCTTCAGTTTCTCTTCCAAAAGATATCAATCTGAATAAAATAACTTAATTAAGTAAATATTTATTGGGCCATAAGCAAGAGGAATGGTCTTAGGGAAATTCAAAGATGAAAAATAAAAAAATAAAGATTAGTATCTAACATAAATGCTGAAAGTAAATAATAGATGTACATGAGAATTGCAGAATTGCCAATTTTAACACTTTTTGGTAGGTTTATCTTTATTTCTCTTTGCATATCCTACAGTATTTTCTTTATACATGTTGATACTATGTTCTTTTTCTTTTAAGTTTTTTATTTTAATTGCAATATAGTTAACACACAGTATAATATTAGTTTTTAGGTGTACCATATAGTGACTCAACACTTCCATACATCACCTGGTGCTCATCACAGCAAGTGCACCCCTTAATCCCCATCATCTATTTCACCCATCCCCTCACCCACCTCCTCTCTGATAACCATCAGTTTGTTCTCAATAGTTAAAAGTCTGTTTCTTGCTGTGTCTCTTTTTTTTCTTTGTTTTGTTTTAGCTTTTGAAGAAAGTGTTCTTAAGATATGACACTTTCTTAAAAAGCTGAGCACATAAATCTTTCAAAATGAGGCCTACTTGAAGAAATTGAAACCGTTAACCCTTATAATTTAATTATCTGATTTTCAACACTGAAACTTTTAACCACTGTGATTGCTTTAGTAATCGAAGAGTCATATTTAACAATGTATGGAAAGTCTTATTCCCTCACAGAAAGCCCAGAGCTTTGGGGACATTGGCAGTACTCAGGCTCAGGTCAGACCCAGCATTCCTCAGCAGGCCAGGCCAGCGCATGCTGGTGCTGTCCCTCATGCTCACTGCTTCCTCCAGCACAACCCCACCACAGTGCCCATCGTCTCCTCGCAGGAGCTACACGTATACATAGGCAGCTCAGGATGTGAGACCTAAGTCTTAAATCTATTTGGCTTTCCTCCATTCCATATGGCTTTGAGCCCATGCCATCTGAATCACCAGAAAGTTTTTGTATATGAAAATACAATTCAACAAACACATCTGGTCATTAATGAAGAAACCAATTCAATCTAAAAGTAATTTTTTTGCAAAAAAATATTTAGTATAATATTTCTTGATACAGTGCGTGGCAGCAGATTTGAATCATTACATTTATGCAAAATAATAAAATTTTTAATTCTGCTGCATGAAACACAGTACACTTGTAGATCCAGAAAAATGTCAGGAACTCACAAAAAATGTGAATAATATATATTTGAATGTAATCTTTGTGCTAAGTCTTTAAAAAACAGGCTTAAAATATAACAAGACCATCGTATAAAAAGCTTCTGGAGATAAAAGCAAAACAAAAATCATAAAGGAAAACATGGCTACCTGAAATTTAACCTTCTGGGGGCGCCTGGGTGGTTCAGTAGGTTAAGTGTCTGCCTTCAGCTCAGGTCACAATCCCGGGATCCTGGGATCGAGTCCCGCATTGGGCTCCCTGCTCAGCGGGGATCTGCTTCTCCCTCTCCCTCTGCCCCACCACCCTGCTCGTGCTCACTTGCATGCACGCGCTCCCTCTCTCTCAAATAAATAAAACCTTAAAAAAATTAACCTTCTGACTATCAAAATCACTATAAATAAAATTAATATCCTTACTTAATCAATATATTGTTACTGAATACCACGTGTGAGGCCCTATTCTGGGTGCTCGGGATCTGGTAGTAAACAAAACAGACAAAAATCCCTGTCTTCATGAAACCTGAAAGATTAACCTTACATATCTTTAAATATGAAGACCTCTTAGAAATTACAGTGGTGTTTGGGTTTTTTTTTTGTTTTTGTTTTTGGTCTGTCCTAAATCTCTTACTTTTGAAAACTTCCCTACTTAGCATGATTCTATGAGGGCATCAATCATAGGATGAGCCAATCAAAATACCCCTTTATCATATACACTGTGGTTGGCCCTGTAATGAGCACATGACCCAGTTAGGTCAGTGTTCTCTAGAGGCAGTTAATGTGGATCCAGAAAATAAGAATCATCCCTTCTCTTTTTAAAGGAGTAACCTAGAAAATTCCAGAAATATTTTCTATAACAGCAAAAACTTGTGACCAAGAATGAAGCCAACAACAGAACTATGAACAAGAATGAAGCCAAAAAGGAAAGCAGAACCAAAAGATGAAGGAAAAGGGAAATGGAGGGAAGGGAGAGAGATCCCAAAAATATCACTTAAGATATTAAATATAGATCTACCCACAGCTGAATCAGACCATTATTCAACTTAATAATTAAACCAGCCATTAAATTCCTCCCCTGGTTCAGCCAATTCAACTGGCTTTTTTTTTTCCCACTACAACTGAAAGAATACTAAACAGGACAGATTTAACAGGGGAAAGAAAAAAAGATGATCAATGTACAAAAAAAAAAAAAAATGAGTATTCAAATGACACAAAAAATATAAATAGCTTTAAACATGTTTTTAAAAGTTTAATTCTACCAGGAATAAAAGGAATACAAGGGAAAACACCCATGATATACCATTTTTATGTTCGTGAAGATATAGGAAAACAAGCATTTTAATATACTTCTGGAGATAGTATAAAACCAACCCTTCTGGAAATCAGTTTGGCAATGTCAATCAAAAGGTAGACAAGTATTTAAAAATACTCAGAACCAAAATCAATACTGTAAAGATATTTTTGCTCCCTAAATTATTTCAAAGCTCAATGGAATCCCAATCAAAATCAATTTCAAAATAACTTGACAACATGATCCTAAAGTCAATCTCCTGATAAAAAATAAATAAAGGTCTATCAGCAGGAAACTGATTCAGTGAATTATGGAACATTCATATAATAAAATAGTATATACCCAGTAAAACGAATGAGGTAGATCAACTATGTTCTGATATGACATGATACCTAAGACCCACAATTAACTGGAAAAAAAATAAAGTACTTAGTTAATATTTGAATAAAATAAAAACACCCACACTTTTAAAAATTCTCCTGAGTGGCTAATTTCTTTAAAAAGTGTGAAAAAGGGACCTCTGGGTGGCTCAGTTGGTTAAGTGTCTGCCTTCGGCCTGGTCATGATCCCAAAGTCCTGGGATCAAGTTCTGCATCAGGTTCCTTGCTCAGCAGGGAGCCTGCTTCTCCCTCTGCCTGCTCCTCTCCCTGCTTGTGCTTGCTCACTCTCTCTCACAAATACATAAAAATCTTTAAAAAATTAAAATTAAAAAAATTTTAAAGTGCCGAAAATACTCTAAAACAAGATCAAGTGGCAAGTAATAGAGGTTGGGGGAGGCAAGGAGGAAAAGAAGAGAAACTATACAATAAAATTGTATCATGGAATTAGAAAATTATATTTGAGAGGTACTGGACTCTAAAAAAATCAACTAAACCAATTAAGCAGATCTAAGGATATATAATAACAGTGTATATGAAAAAAATAATTGTTAAAGACAAATGCTCAGCCATTTGCAGAAAATAAAACTAGATGCCTACTCACATTTCATACCAAAATTAATTCCAGATGAATCCAAGGTGTTAAAAAATATGAAAAACCCGGAAGATAATATGTGTGAACATTTGTATCACCTTGGAGTAAGAAAAGTTTAACAATGTGTATCAAGAAAACGAAAACTTCTGAGAGACCATGTGGGAGTAACTGGTTCCAGATTTGCCATCCCAACATAAACAGGTTGAAAACTGGATGAAATATATGAAACTAATATTTTCAGACACTGGAAAATAAAAATACAAGACTGATCCCCGACAGAAGGGAAAAACAAGATGAGCCCTATATCACTGCAGCTTTTGGCTTGGAGGCACCCTCCAGACTGCTGCACAGAAAGGAGGAATCCAAGCAAAACATCCAGGACAGGCTGAGCTGGGTTAAGAGAGATCAGAATTATGGGAGTCCAATGCCAGTGAAATTTGCAAGGCAAAATGCCAGGGAGGAGGAAGCTATCTATGAAAGAACTCCAGAAATCAACATGTGGGTACTCTTAAGTCTTTGGCTGAATACTAGCTGCTCATGTGTAGGGTGATACTCCATGATGTGAGGCAAAGAATGGCCATCAGGAAACTGTAAAATGAACAATTTCCAGAGATACTGAACTCATGCAACAACTTGGATGAATCTCTAAGAAATTACACTGGGGGCGGGGAGAAAGCCAATCTCAAAGTTCTGTACTTTTCCATTTATAAAACATTTTTGAAATGACAGAATTTTAGAAATGGAGAACAGATTGATGGCTGCCAGGACTTAGAAAGAGAGGGTGAAAGAGACGGTTACAAAATTATGAGCAACACAAGGGACTCGTGGTGATAGAACTGTTCAGTACCCCAACCGTGGCAGCAAATACATGAACCTACACAGTTGACAAATTGTACAGAGCTAAATACAGACACAGAAATGAGTACAAGTAAAACAAGAAGTTTGAATAAGATCAGTGAATTATATCAATGGCATTCTGTTTGTGATATTTATACTATAGTTTTGCAAAATGTTACCTTTGGGGAGAAATGAGTAAAGTGTACACAGATATCTCCATATTACTTCTTACAAGTGTGAATCTATAATTATCTCAAGAAAATTTTCAATTAAAAAAATACTTCAGGGGCGCCTGGATGGTTCAGTCCGTTAAGCATACTACTCTAAATCTCAGCTCAGGTCTTGATCTCAGGGTCGTGAGTTCAAGCCCCAGATTGGGCTCCCT